GATCTGTTCTTTGAACACTTGATGTATCTAATAATAATCCGAAATCGTCAATAAAATTATAGACTTCTTGGTGAGCCAAGTGATTGCAGCACCAAGAGAATAAAAGGCACAGAAGAAGGCAGAAAACTTTAGCTATATGCTTCATTTATCAAACGGAGATGAACTGATAACATTTTAATGAAAATTCAACTGTGAATTGATTCTCGTTGGACTATACAATTTTTGACAACTTTAGTTGCAGAAAAGTAGGCTGATACAAGCATACATAGTAAACGGTCAAAATCCGCAATCTACAACAAAATTCGACATAATGTGGACCCGAACCCCCTCCGATCGTTTCAAGCCTGCGCTTGTTCCATCGACATTCGAGGATAGACTCCACAGCACGTTCCCAGAATGCGTTTTTCTCATCACTGATGGGTAGAATTTTACAATTGCCTTTGACTTTGAAAATGTTTTCTTTTTGGAATCAGCTGTGCCACTAGCAAGCATCCAGCGTGTCCCGGACTGCTGCTGTGCTTTGCTACCCCAAAGATGCTGCTTATCAGGCTCAGTATTTAACCCTGCAAGATCAACTTCGGTGATGAAAAATGGAGTACCTTCTTTTTCCTCTGCAGCTTCGGATTCAGGGTTATTCTCGATCTTTTCTGGCTCTAGAGCGACATGAGCTCGCTCTACTTGAATTAAAGCCATCATTGAAGTGCCAACCGGTTCGTTGTTTCGAAAGGGATCTCTAAGAAACACCGTGACGGGTAGTGTCAAGTTATTCCCCAACAACCCGTTTTAATCAATTTTAATCCGTTTTAATAGTTAAACTCTTATTTTTTTAAAAATCATACCTAAATTTTAATTTAATTTTAGTACTCCCATTCAAAATTTAACATTAAGTTTGATAAAAGTTAAAAATCTAGGTATTAAACGGACCAAAACTGATAGTTTAAATACTCAACACCTTAAGTTTTTAATGGCATAATACTAAAATGAAACAAAATTAAACTTTAGGTATATTTTTGAAAAAAATAAAAGTTTAAGTACTAAAACGGATTAAAACTGATAATTTAGGTACTCAATGTATAGTTTACCCAAAAAAATATATGATTCATATAATGAATATATAAAACTAAGAGAAAAATGAAAATATTTAATAAATGCAATCAACTTTCTAACACATAAATCAGGGCACTTCATCTTGCAGCCGAGAAAATGTTTGACAATACTGTGCATGGTTTCTGTTAAAGTTGCAACTATGGTGACCCATGAATCGGCACACCAATGTTCCGGTAATCTTACGACCATGAACGGTCGTCGGGTTATCACCTGAATTCGCTAACTTTGTATAAGCACCATGGACTGAAAACGATACAAAACAATGAATACAACGTCCCATAGTGTCAAACTCGAAAAGCATGGCTATCCACCTAATCGCCCATTTCCTACGACACGGCTAATGACTTACGATACCCTGAACTCGAAACAATGGAGCTGTACCAGAAATACAATGGTGCGTGTTGCATGTTCTATAATGTACGTACAAGGGGGGAAAAGTTGGGAGAAACTAAATCATGGCTTACTCTTGAATTTCCTTTGAGCTTTAAGGTCCACCACGAGTACCGTGATGTTGTCCTTGCTTCCTTTTTGGAGGGCTCGGTTCGATAGGTATTCGGCTGCAGTTTGAGCCGCAGGATCGATGGTTTCGCCCCTTTCTGAAGTCGGGGTTGCAACCGTTTCTTGTGCCATTGAAGTATTCGTCTACGAGCCAGGTCGCATGCTTCTTTGTTTGTCATAACATCCCATAGACCGTCACTGGCCAGAATGAGACATTCGTCTTCTTTCACTCTAGGAACAAACGTTACTTCTGGTTCTGGAATGATCCATGGCTTCAAATATCTATCACCTGTAACACCAAGAACCGAAGGACGGTGATTCTTTTTTTTAATTATTCCGTCATTCGAATCGTTTACTATGTATACACCAAGTGCACTTATGCCCCTAGAACACCTGCAATATCATGACTTTTTCCCGACACGGAAAAAGGACAATACAAAGCAATGCATGGATGTTTATAATCTATTGCTCTCTTTAACATTCACCGATCGTCGTTCAATCGAGGGATATAGAATAGCTGCATATTTTGAACACTTACTGCATATAGAAGTAATGAAAAAAGTTTGATGCGAATCATTCGTAAAAAGTTCAGAAGACATACCAATGGACCTTGACATTGCAAGAACACCAAAAACCCGATGTCCATTCCATTGAATAACCTTGCCTCCAGCTGCTTCAATCCTTTCATATTCGTCTTCTCGATTTGGCTCCGAAACACGAACAGAATAAAAACAGAAGGGTATAAGTTCCCAGCAGTTGATGAACAAATACAACAATACACGAGGGTGAAATTCAGTCTCTTACTTTATGATCGACGGACAAAGCCATGGGCTCTTTCCCACGACATAGAACTGCCCTAGAATCTCCGCAGTTTGCTACAACGATATGAGAAGAACAAATGAGGGAAACAACAGCAGTAGAACCAACTGTTTCTGGGCAACAGGTTCATGACCATCTCGTCCTTCGACGCATCGACTTTAACGAAACAATTAGTGAATGCCTTTCTCCATAGCTCTTGGCAACTATCTGTTACATTTCCATTACCCCAAACATTCTTTAGCAAACTCTATTTGCTCGGACAAAGCACAGTGAAGATGGTCTCGACAGTAGTTTGCAACCTGTATAACAATAAACAACAATAAAGACATTCACTTCCTTAGCATCCATTTTAATGGAAGAAAGCTTAACAGGAAAGGTAGTAAAGGAAATCGTAAAACCGACCTGTGAACCTCCATGACCGTCATAGACGCCAAAGAAATGAGCAGTCTGATGAGCAAAGCCCTTGCTCATGCCATCGAGTACCCTACTACCAATTAGCATTTCAATTGGAACCTTTACGAACCGAGGCACAGTAGCCACTGCATCTTCCATCTCGGGTCTCCTTCCACAAATAGAAGTAAATCCCCAAAGAGGTACATATTCCACCTCGTACCGCTGCGTGGAACCGGAACTGCCATAATAGTTCCTTTTGGAGAGCCAACTGAAGAACCCCTTCAGATGGTTTCTCTTCAGACCCATCTGCAATCTCTTCCTCGAGGCTTACCGCCACAGCAATGGGATCACTTGCAACATCTGTATCAACATTCGACTCCACAAACTTAGTGGCTTTTGCAATAATATCCAAACCGCAAATGTTTTCTCGATGCCTACACAGGAAGCGGCATCGAAACCCAGGAAATCCTCTCACAAAAGCTACTAGTCTCACTTGCCACAGAATATGAACACGAGCTATCAAGGTCGCAAACACGATCGCCTTCCAATGACAAGAATCATCTTCCTCACTTTCTTGGGCTATAATATCATTACTAGCAATGCAAACATCTTTACTACCAGACACCATTACCACTTCTGATAGTGGCAACTCCATGCTACTTACTTCAGTCTCGGTAACATCGCAATGGCAACCGACATCTTCATCATTAGGATTTGCCATAAAAGCTTAAGTCTTGTGAATTGGGATGTCCATAGAAGTATCAAAGCTTGAGTTTTCACAGAGTGAATTACCTAATCTAAATGGCAACTCCTCCATCAAAATTCCCTTCAACTCCTTCAAATATCACACTACTAATCAGTATTTAGCTAAACTAATGACAATGTCTTAATCAACTCAAAATTGTCCAAAGAGGATTCAAGTTCAGGTTTAGTGAAAGAGAAATGGGTTATAGTCATATCTGGTCAACTACAACTGGATCTAAACTTCCACTTGTGGAAATTACTACCCAAAAACAGTCATTTTACACCTTTGATTATGCTGGACTCTTCTTCATTTACATCCATGAACTAAAGTAAATACATCAAGAAACAGAGAAACAACATAAACACACCACACAACCAAAACTAGATCAAATTCAAAGCCAGCCCTTTATCCCAAAACACAAAAGGAAAATACTTGGAGAGAAAGGAGTGGAGAAAAAAAGGGTTCATGAGAAAGAACTCAAAGAAAAGTGATGACCCAAGAATCACAAGAAAGCCTAAAAAAAAGGAGATAATCCTTCTTCACAAAGAGTTCCCGGGATCTGAGGCAACCCTTCTCAGCCTCTTGTATTTTTTTGGCTCAAATAATCGGGTAAAATCATAATCAAGAAGTGAAAAAAAAAGGGAAGAAATGTATTTTAATAACAAAGTAATGACTACTACCTAGCTTTGCCAACTGCAGTAGAGTTCTTCTTTGCCAATCACTTTATGGTTGTTTTCAAGCAAGAAAGAAGCATTTTTAACATCCTTAGACGAGACAGGAAAAGATAGAAATAAAAGGTGTGGACTTTGCTTTGCTTAACATTAATATCATTAAATGTAACTTAAGAAAAGGGCTCAAAATGATCAAACAATTAAGGGTTTAAAATATTTTTAAGATTTGATTTGTTCACATTCTTTATATTTTATCCGCAATACAATAATGGATAACATGAGGATATTTTGAGACCAGAAAAATTAAAGAATAAGAAAAATCATAGGAAAAAGACAAGGAGAGGGAGTGTGTCTAATGTGTGTAAAGAAAGGGTACAAGGAGGAAAGTCTTGCCATATGTCAAATCTTCTCCACCTATCTCTTTTTTTAATGATTTGATGATAAAAATAATTATTTTATTTATCAGTATATTTAATAATATAAATTTTTTTTATCAATCCATATAAAAGCATGGATTTTTTTTATTTTTTTATAATATTTTTTATCATCCCATGCCTAATGCTAAAAAGGGTCTTTGTGTAAATTACATATTGTTTGCTTTAACGTGAAGAATGGAAGAAATTCCAAAAATTTCAACTCCTTCCATTACATGCATGATAGATTTTTGAAAAAAAAAATATTAATATTTAATTTATTGATCGAGTAATTTAAACTAAATATTATTAAAATTTAACCTCATAGCTAATTCCTAGTTTATGGTGATATAAGTTTTACTCACAACACTATGGCTATGGAGTTTCTCAAAGAACTGTGCTACCAATTGAAAATTTAGAGCAGAAACTGCCACTAGTGAAGGCAAATTTTAACACAAGCCAACCTGGGCAGCCAGTGCATCCACAAACTCTCATCTAAACTTCCCACACAGCCCTTTCGGCCGGGAAAAAAAGGAAACAAGAGTTTCCCTTGTCCCACCAGTCGACTGGGAAACTGGTTTTCGAGACCTTTTTTAATATACATGGTGATTCCAGTAATCGGATGCAGCCACTCCACAAGAACTGCAGGTCTTGGAAGGTTACTTTATGGCAACATGGGATCACCTGCAGCAAGCATCTGCATACCGTCTCCTCGGCTGACCACTTAGTAGGATAACCTACCCCCAAATCACCTGCAGGCCGTCCACTACTGTATATAGCATCGACGGATGGCTGCTCCGTTGATGGATTGTTGAAGTCTGCACACAGTTTAGAAATGTGGTGTCAAATTTCCTCTTTTTAAGGGGAGCAGAAATACCTTGACAACTATGAGACGAATTGCATACCAACGAAATGGTGTAGCCCTTTGACGGCATCGAAGTTCTTGTATGTATAGCCAACAACACTCAAATCTTTGGGAGTTAAAAACATCTGGCATAAAGGAATAAAGTTCCATGATTGCACATTTATACATTTTCTGATCAGAATAGAACACAAACTTCATATTCTTTATGTTACCGGAGTTTGACCCTTGGTCTCTAGAACCAAGAGTTGAGTCACTCTATCAACAGACCGTATGTTTGTTGGTGAATAGAACACAAACTCGTCGCATGCTAAAGAAACGTGCAAAACAAAATAAGTTCACAGATAGCATCATTTGTTACAGACCTTCCGTGAGGATCCCGAGCCAGTTCTTGCTGATGCTGGAGGATCCAACTGCTGATAATTCAACAAATAGTCAAATTATAGAAGCTAAAAGTACTATGAAGAAAGAGATTAGTATTTAGAATAAGCAAAAATGAAGGTAATACAAAAAGGGGAGTTTGAGTTATATATACTTCATCACACTTCATAAAATTTTGAGTATCTAACTCCCCATTCACTTCGGGTTTAAATGCAGCCTCCATCTCATAGAGCGTATCCCACTCGATGTCTTTGAACCAAGGATGAGCCTGATAAAATCATATTTCGTCAACCATAAGGAAGCAGAAATAGTCGGTACGAAATAACGTTTCAATGTATCATAATTACTTTTATTGATTTGCCCCTCCAGTACCCAACCTGTGCTCAACATCACAAAGCAATCGACATATAAGATCCTTTGCCTCGTGACTTATCTTCGAATTCAGGAAATCTTAGGTGATTCCTCCAATGCACAATCTGACAGTGATTGGTGACCAAAATATCAGGAAAATGAATAAGACCTTCTCTCACTTTTGAAGTTGTAGCAAGAAATAATAGACGTTGTGCAGCTAGAAAAGTAGAACAGGTATGCATAATGCATGAAGGTGAAGCAAAAAAAGAATAAGTAGTATACTTTAAAATAAAATAAAAACTTTTTTTTAAGAAGTTATTGAAGTTAGGTTCAGCACTTCAGTTGACTAGAAAGTTCACTGATTTCCACCAAAAACAATTAACTAATCTATCATTCAAAGTCCTATCTTTACTTTTTAGACTTTCTCAGCAACAAACAAAGATCACAGACACCGCAAAAAAATAAATACTATCTAAAGAAGAAGCAAAAACGATACCTTTCTTTGCGTTCTTGAATATTCTTCATCTGAGCTCTATATGATTCTCGATGAACTGTTTCGCCGCCGCAACATTCTCCAGCGTCAAGCTTGATCCAAACACCTCCTCTCCAGCATCCCCTTCTTCATCTATGCCCTCCATTCCCCCCCCTCCTCTCTCTCTCTCTCTCTCTCTATATATATATATATATTCTAAGAGCTCTCAGTTGAAAGGAAAAATTGAAAACTTTTATCATTTACTGTGCAGCCAACAAAGGGAGACGATGGGATAGAGAAACAGATCTCCTTTTCAGTGATCTTCCTCTTATCCTCCTCTACTTCCGATATCACGCAACTTCCAATATTATACCCAATCAAAGTCATCCACGTGGCTGTCTTTTGATGCTCTTTGTAGGTGTGTTCAGGGTGGTAATACTGAGACTGGGAGCAGGGGAGTTTGGGTTTTCTTTTAGTATTGTATTGGTAATTTACACTTTTAATATCTAAATATTATTGTTTAGTATGTTTTAATATTTTTTTAAAAAAATATACCTAAAGTTTTATTTTTATTTCATTTAGTATTTTCAAATTTAACGTTAAATTTTTAAAAAAAAATTAAATATTAAAACAGATTAAAACTTATAATTTAAATATTAATACTATAAATTTTTAATAATGAATACTTTATAACCTAAAATTTCATTTAAAAAAGTACCAAATCTACAGTTTTATACATCACATCAAAGAAAAATTTATAATTAACCCTTTTTAATATGATAAAGTATATTAGGAGTCATTAGATTATGTTCAAATAATTTTTGGTCATTAAACTCTTAAAAGTTATATATAACCATTAAATATATTAAACTTTTATCATTATTATAATATCGACATGGTCATTATATTATAGGGTAAGAACGCAAATGGTCTCTCGACTATAGAGTAGAGTTTTATTAAATCTCTCGACTATTAAAGTTGTAATAATGGTCATTTGATTTATAGAGTGTTGCTTTGTTGAGTCCCTTGAATATTAAAAGTTACAAAATGTCATCTGATTATTCATTATGTTCTAAACTCGTCATTTTTCGTTAAAAAAACAATATTCCGAGCTAAACGTTAATAATGAGATACTTTATAACCCTAAAATTCATTTAAAAAAGTACCAAACTCTACAGTTTTATACATCACATCAAAGAAAATTTATAATTAACTTTTAATATGATAAAGTATATTAGGAGTCATTAGATGTTCAAATAATATTTTTGGTCATTAAACTCTTAAAAATTATATTAACCATTAAATATATTAAACTTTTATCATTATAATATCGACATGGTCATTATATTATGGTAAGAACGCAATGTCTCTCGACTATAGAGTAGAGTTTTATTAAACCTCTCGACTATTAAAGTTGTAATAAAATGGTCATTTGATTATACAGTGTTGCTTTGTTGAGTCCCTCGAATATTAAAAGTTACAAAATGGTCATCTGATTATTCATTATGTTCTAAACTCGTTATTTTTCGTTAAAAAAATAATATTCCGAGCTAAACGTTAACTTGTTAACCGTGATATGATAAAATTTGATCCTAAAATCTTAAACATCTATTATGTTTTTGTCATCGTGTTAACGTCTAGCTTAAATAACCACTAATTTTTTAACGAGAAAGACAAGTCTGGAATATAATGAATAATCGAGTGACCATTTTGTAATTTTTAATAATCGGATACTTAACAAAATGACACTCTATAATTAAAGTATCATTTTATAATTTTTAATAATCGAATAAATTAAGAAAACAAAATTGTATAGTCGGATACCATTTACTCACCTAATAATTAAACCTTTATAATAAACATTATCCAAATACTAATAGCATGCATGGTGTAAAAGATTATGAGCAATGGCATCTCTAGCTTCCATGGAGCTCACCGATCTCAAATCATTTTCACCCGCCATTTCTTCTTCATCATCATCATCATCGTCATCAACTAGCTCTCCCCATTGATCAAACTCAAACCCATCTCCTCTGATTTCACAAATATTATGCAAAACACAACAAGCTCCGACAACAACACTCAAATCCTGCAACTCGAAATCAGTATTGTTTTTCTGCAAACAACACCATCTCCCTTTCAATCTCATGAACGCGTCTTTAGCAACTCTCTGGATCGTTTCGATCTTCTCGTTAAACACATGTTGTGTCCACGTCAATCGTCGTCGATCGTAAGGAACCAAGACCCAGTCCATTAATGGATACCCTTTGCTCCCCACGACCCAAACTCCGTTGAAAAACCCGCCGTTGCTTTTTGATAAAGGGATGATTTTTGCAGCACTTGATCGTCGTTCATTGATCCCGGCCAGCCTATGGAAACGTCGGTGAAAATCCCGTTATGGTCGACACGCCTTGTACTGTCACGGTGTATGATGTCATCGACGCCGCCGGTGGTGGTGGAGGTGCCGGGATATGGGTTGTGGACATTGATCCGACGACGTTTGGTATCCACGAGATGGCTTCGAACTCTTGTTTGTTTCTCGTAACGATCCTTGTCCGGCCATCGTAGATACTTGGGCATCAAGACGGTGCGTATCGCCGAACAGACGAGGACAGATTCACGGCACGTCGGGATGGGTAAACCGAACCGTTTCGACTCGACTCGAAACGGTTCTCCCGTCGCCAAACGCCATATGCAAACCGCCACTCTTTGCCTGAACGCGACGGCGTCGTTGTCGTTTTCGTAGTTGAGTTCGGAGCAAATGAGGTCGAACGTCGACTTGCGCATCCTAAAAGCCTTCTTGAATTCATCTTCGGGTAATCGGGTCCGTCACACTCATCCCACCACAATCTCTGACCCGTCGTGGAGCTGGAATCTCCGCCTTACACGATCGTCTGCCTGAAACTCCGTCGTGGTTCGAGCTTTTCTCTTTTGTGTTGAATCAAAATGGGGTTTTCATCGTTAGAACAACAACCATCTTCTTCAACGGAAATCCTCGGTTTCGTCGCCGATCATGAAGAACGCCGCTATCATTCATTTTTTCCGCCAAAAAAGAGCTAAACCAAGGAGAAAGAGAAAGAAGTGGGTGTTTCAGCTGCAGCGATGAGTGGTGCATTTAAGGAAGAAGAGTGATTAAACCGCCGAAATCAGATGGGAATTATTGGGTTATCGATTGTTGTAATCGGGAGCTTAAAAAGTGGTTCAAAGGTGTGAACGCAGAGAGATCGAAGTCGAACACTTGATAAGACATCGTTGTCTCCTAGTAGTATGCGTACCAAATAGGTAGACCACGTATATTTAATTAAAGCTATATCGAATAACAAAGAGTTTGGATAAAGTACACAAATGGTCCATCGACTATAGGTATTACTTTAGTAAGTTCTTTAATTATTAAAGGTTATTAAATAGTTCTTTAACTATACAATGTTGCTTCGTTGAGTCTCTCGATATTAAAAGTTATAAAATGGTCACCAACTATTCAATATGTTTCAAATTCATCATTTTTCGTTAAAAATTAATAGTGTTATGAACTGAACTTTAACTTGGTGAATGTGATATGATAAAATTGATCATAGAATCTCAAAGACTATCATATCTCAGTCATCATGTTAACATCGCTTATACAACCGCCAATTTTTAACAGAAATAACAAATTTGGAACATGATAATAGTAGGGTGATCATTTTGTAACTTTTAATAGAGACATAACAAAGTAGCATTATAAATATCATTTTGTAACTTTATAGTTGAATGATTTAATAAAGTAGTACTTTGTAGTCGGGGGACCATTTATGTACTTTACCCAAAAGTTTTTTTTATTTTAAAGTATAGATTAAATAAGTGTTTGTTTAAATAATTATATTAGATAATTTATATTTATAAATTATGAATTAAATAGATTTTATTAAAAAACACATATCAAATTAAGAGTAATAATATTATTTATTTATTTTTTTTAAATAAAAATTCATTTAACCTCACGATTAAAATGAATGTTTCTTTTACTTTTTTTGGGTACAAATAGTGTTGGTAAATGAGTGATAAGTGTTGGATCTTTCTTCTTCAAGGCTTAATATATGGATTGAGTTTATACATAATTAATGATCTAATAAGATAAGATGTAAGATTCTTTAAATTCAATTAAATATTTAAAATTTTATATTATGAATGAAATATAATAATTTATAAAAAATATATATATTTTTATAATATTGTGATTTTTAATTAATTATTAGATATCAAACTTATATTTCTTATAATCTCTAATTTCATTTCAAATTTAATCAAATTTATGCTATAGTATAAAATATCTTTTATTATTTTAAAAAAACAAAAAGTCCATGAGGAAAAATTCTTAAGTGGAATTATAATTTCAATTTAATATTTAGATTTTTTTATAGAAAAATGTAGGGAGTAAGCCTTTCCCTTTTGAGTTAATTAAGGGGTTAAATATGAAAAGAATTCAAACATTTGAGCCATGCAAATACACAAATGTCAAAGATAAGTCTGACGCTGGAACAGTGTGGAGAGGGTGGGTTAGTCTTTTCCAAAATTTTAAAATATATATTTTTAAACTTTATATATATATATATATATATAATATTTTCACACTCTTAATAATCTAAAAGTTTAAA